AAGATTTTATCGATTTTCTCTTTAGCTTTTGTACGGTCCCGCTTGGATCAGTGGTAAAGCTTTTGGACTTGAACTCTGGAGTAGTATGCGTTGATAACTTGTACAGAACAGTAGAGAGTTTGGATTTGGAGTGGCTTGCTATTTCCAAGAATGAAATAATAAATGCTGGAGTTCTGAAACAATACAAGTGCAAAAATCATCCTTTGCAATTTCCTGATGCTAAAACAATATCGAACCTTCTTGACCCAAGGAGCCCAACTGGTTGCGATGATTGCTTTGGTAGATTTATGGAGGGACCACACTTGTTTGTAGTGTCAGACAACTTGATAGTGACACCATTATCTTCTCCATCGAGTATTAGCTTCCTAAAAGAACTTAATGTACCTCTCAATGATATTGAAGAGAAGGAAGAAACTATACGCGAAACTGAGGTAAATTCTGGAGTCAGTTTTGTTTTGTGTAGTATGGGAGATTGTAGAGCAATTTCTTTCTCCTCTTCAAACTCGTTGGATGAGAAATTGATGATTCGTGCTTCTGTAACAGGCTCTTGCTTTGTTGAAGGCTTCTTTAACTTCATCAGCTTTAAATAATTGCTTTAAGTCAAGTGGAAATCAGAAGTTCAACAAAAGGTATGATATCATATGTCTTGTTGTTTGGTTAATTAGCACAAAACATCCTTATCGTTTGCACTCATTGTGCGAATCATCCATATCGATTTAAATTTGACATTTACAACCTTATTTCAACCTTTTGCAAAGTTGGCCCTTTCTGTCCATTCTGTATGTTCCTTCCGTTAAATATACACGTGGATTGCATTTAGATCATATCAAAAGGCTAATTTTATCAAACCACTATTTTTCCTACTAAGGGCATGTTTGAGCTCCATTTTTTTTGTATAAAATGCATTTTGGAATAGTAGATTGATGGAGAATATGTGTTTAAAAATTAATGATTTTTTTTTATTTACGTGTAATAATATTTTATTGAATAATGTGTGATTAAAAAGAAGTGAGGAAAAAATGTATTTTGGAAAAATGGGGATGAAACAAGGGCTAAGTAAACGTGAAGGCTGGCAAACGAATCATATTGCAAAAAAAGGTGAGTTGAGACAAAATCCCCAATTTCTTCATTTTCCCTGCGAAGGACCCTAGTCCGCTACTTGTTTGCACTCCATTCTACTACTCTAGTTAAGTTATAAATATGCAATACTAGTGATTTTACATATTTTCTATGGAGTTCTCTGAGATTTATGCTTGAATTCATATTCCATTTTACTAGAATACTTGTGGCTATAAAGTTCTTTGCCCAAGTTGATTAGTTTGTGTTGTTTCAAGATCACCACTTAATAATAGAGTTTATCCTATAATATGGTGACTATGTAATCTGCCCAACATCTCAATTAAAAAAAAAAATGGTTTTCGTGCTTTCATTTTTTGTTTTTGTTACCTAATAAACAACCCTCGTTATTAAATATGTCCATTTAACAAAAGTAATTCTTCCGCCGAGAACAAAAGTTTATGTGCTTTCATTTTTTGTTTATTCAAATGTGGGAATAGCAGCAACCAGTGGGTATTCTGTCCATGTAAGATTCAAAAGTCTGTTCATTATCATTCTATGCTTTCATTTTTTCATTTTTCAGTTTTTGTTTATTTATAAGTTTCTGTACTTCTTTATTGAGCTTCCTTTAATATCTTGTCCATATAGAAATAAAATATCCAAGATTCAGAATTTACCAAGAGGAGGCACCTGAATACAGTTAGGTAATTTTAATTTTTTATTTTTCTCCCTTTTGATAAGGGCTTGTAATTGCATGCACGTAATTATGCAGCAGAAAATACATTTGTAATTGAATGTCATTACCATGTTCATACAGGTCCAAATTACATTTCTAGGAAGGGACTAGGTGTGATATGTTGTTGAACAAACCATGTGAATCTTTCAACCGTGCTAATTACACCTTGTTGTTTTCCACTGTGCTACTTGTACAGGCTCAATGATAGGATTCTTTTTAGAGATAACACATGGCGACATTTGATTAGATGTTGCCAAAAAAAAAAAAAAGACCATAAAAGTGCTGCCAGCATAGCACTTGTAAAAGAGATCTGTAAACAATTCCCATGTACAAAGGGAATTGTCTAAGTTATGCTTCTGGTACCGAAAAAGTTTGATAAAATTCGTACAGGACACTTTGCAATTTTTTTATGCAGGGAATTATTTGAATTGCCCTGTTGTTTTTTATTGTTGTTAGGGATTGACAAGGCTGTTCTTATGCTAATGGGATTGACAAGGAATTAGTTGAATGCCCAAAAAGGTTGACTCTTGCCTAATTGGACACCAACTGGTTTTTAGATGACATAGTTAAAACTTAAAACTTTAATCTAACAAGTGACTTCAAAATTAAGGGTTGTATGGATTCGAGTCACAAGAGTACCATGTTGTGGGAGACATGTGATCGTGGTTCAATGATTTGAAAGATTTAGTCTAACCTCATTTTAAACCAACTGATTTTTAGATGAGATAGTTATTTGATTTTAACAATTGTCTCTACGTTGTTACATTTGTGTTCAGCATAAATATTTTGTCTTGCATTATTAAAATCATAATATGAAGTCTTTATTATACTGTGGTAATAGTATTTATCTTCTTTTGTAGTGATGTGGCTAGGAAATAGCTTTGGAGCAAACGACGATGCCTAGCCATTTTCTCAGTGAACTCAAGAATAGAGTCGCTTTTGGTTCTCTGTTTTTTTGTCCTCCGGTTTAGAGAATTTGTTCAGTTTTTGAAAGAATTATCTGATGTTGGAGCGATCCGCACGTGTCAATGTATGTTTAAGCTCATTTCTCCAGAATTTAATTATCGAAGAAACTTTATTCCGTATGTATAATTCTTGGTGGAAGAAATGGTATTTTAAAAGTATACCTTAAATCTGTAAAATAATTGAATTTAAATGGTAAGATGCAAATTGAAGACGAAAGATTCATCCAAGGAAATTACCACCACCTCCAAGGCCTGTCATGCCAGTGCCACCTTTTCTTGGAAAGATCCTAAATCATACATAAGAACTACAACCTGATATTAACTAAGCCAAAATCTTCGACAGGCCTTGCCTTCAGAACCAGGTTCCTTGGCAAGCTTTTGAGTCACTCGGTGGCCTGCAACAAACAAACCCAGGTCAGTTTTTTCTCCAAAGAACCAAACATTATATTTGAATATCCGTTTCCTGTGAATCCCCGACAACCTTCTGATTATGCAATGCCAATCAATAAAAGTTCTGACTCCAACTCGATTTTGTTATGTTCCTATTGGAAGAGAATAATTATATGGAGTTCCCTACAATATGCCAAGGCCAGATTCAACTTCCAAATAGGGTTTGTTTCTAGGTTTCCAGCAGGATCCTGCTGGAGCCATGAATTTTGCAGGAAATTATCCTCGACCATGGAATTTGGGGCCTGCTGCTGAGCCTTTTGAACCTCCTCTCGTAGGCCAAGGTGATTGTGGTCGAAGTATGGGGGTTTTACCTCCAAACCTGTCTCCTCCTTCAGCCAATAAAGAGAAGGAACATGGGCAGGGTGGGAATTTTGTGGACGGCAAGATAATGATGGCCCCACAATCCGTGTCCCTTCCACCACCATCGCCACAGCCACCGACACCTCCAACCCACTTATCACAGCTTCACCGAGGCAGGTTGTACTCTGGTGACGCTAGCCATGAGGGTTCACCGGGCTTTGGGTGGCAGCACGAGAAACGCGATAGCTTTGGAAGTGGCCAAGATTAGTGAATACAATTAATTTTGTTCTTCCCCTGCTCATATTCACGTGGATGATGTTGAAATTGTAGGTTATGTTTGACCATTATAGTATCTTGCATGTTTTCTAAATGTCGTAGATTATGCTAAAATGAATTTTGTTTTAGACGAGGTTTTCATTTCTTGATATGGATTTACACAAAATTCTTCCTTTGTCGTGACGGCAGTAGGGCTATCTTGTTGAATTTGCCATTCGAAAATGGTGATATACATAACACTAATTAACATCATCGAAGAAAGCTCGGCTTAGAGTTAAGACAAACAACACATGTACACAATTAACTAAAGTCATTGCATGTTTAGATCTTAAAGCTAGCACTGTTAAGTGCCTAACAGAATCAGCAAATTCAAGGGAGAAGAAAAGACCCAACAAAAGGAAATGTAAAATTGAAGAAAACATATTATCAAAATTAACTTAATTTCTTCTTTTCCAAAATTCATTTTTGAACCTTGCTGATAAACTGTGCATCAAATCTCACGAATAAATGCTGCGAGTACCTGTACCTCATTAGAGCATATCTATCAATATGGTCTTCATACCTTTCATAAAGTGCTGGAACTGTAAGAAGAATAACAATGCCTGACAATTACAGAGATAAGCAAGACGAGGAAGCGTGAGTTGGGTAAGCCTGATGAGAAGGGGATACCTTCATAATTGTAAATGGGAATTACAAGAAAATGAACTTACCAGTGTAGACCAATGTGAGGAAATCAGTGAGGCTCCCAATGACAGAGATCAGCAACAGACTTAGAGCTACTTTCACGAACATTCTTGAGTCCCTATCAAGTGTGATATCCTCAGACACACGGAGCAGAACATTTATATGATTGCGGATGAAAGTAGATACTTCATTCGTGATTTCTTCTGAGATATATAAATGTGGTAGAGGTGGAGCAGGTCTATTACAGATCATTTGCAGAATTATTAAACATGAACAACATTTTAAAGTGCTGATATTTGTCGTCATAGTCAACTTCATTGGAATAGAAATGTACTGGATTTATCTTAATGGCATAGTTATTTTTTAGAGGATAAAGCTGGTTGTAGAGCCTTGTTTCACATTCACTTTCACAGTTTTTTGAAAATGCTGAAGTGGTAGTGTAAATTGGTGAAAAAAATAAAGAAATGAATTGTTAAAAAAAACCCTCCAATCCTAATCCGGCCCATTTACATTGAACCTCCCAAATCTCCATTTCTCACCTACTCCCAACCCTCCCCTCAACTCCCGCCACCCATTCACTCTCCGGACAGTGCATCCACGGTGAGGACGACACCAAGATTTCAGGCGACCACCGGACACACCAGTTCACAACACTCTATTGAAATTGTCGTTCAAATCAATAAAATGAGACATAGAATGAAAAATGGAAATATGGGCAAAATATTTGCCCATGGGGCCGCATGGATCCATGCCGGGACTAAAAGTCCCGGTACAATTTAAGCCATGCGGCCACATGGGTTTGTACCATGCGGCCGCATGGAAGAAACGGTTAGCCGTTTTTTGACCGTTTTGTTCAAATTCTGGTGGCTTTTGATGGGTTTTTGGCACCACTTCGTATAGCAATGTTTGATGACTATATATAGGTGGTTAGTGATCAACAAAAACATTGGAAAACATATAGAAATAAATAGCCACACTTGAGAACAATTTTCATTCCAAAAATACATTGAAATTTCATTTCAATTTCATATTCAAAATCCTCTTTGTGTTCTTGAAGTTTTGATAGACAAAACACAAGTGTTTAAGTGTTTTTCTACTACAAGGTTTGATAAATCCTACAAACCATTTGCTGGAAAACCCTTTAAGCACCAAAATTCATTGAGAGGGGGCACATATCGTTTAACGATCTTCGTGTTTGAGCCTTCCATATTGTTTGGTGTTTTTGTTCGTGGTTTGATTCAGATTGTTGCTGATATTTAGTGTGATTCTTCTTCAACTTTTCTTGATTAATTGTATCGGTTTCTTCCAATCTTTTGTGGAAGATCAAATGACTACTACAATATGAGATAAGTTTATCATCTTCTTTTAGTTATTTTCATCGTTAAATTTAAAGTTTCATCGTGGTTTTATTCGTTTTGTTGCTGGTCATAATTGTTGATTTCTTCTCCATTTCCTCTCTTAGTGAAAAGTTTCCCAACAATCTCAAACGATACTTCTGCGATGGAGAATGGAATCACCAAGACTTAACGAAGTGATGAAATCCGGTAAAATTAATACCTTGCCTTCTCAACTATTTTGGTAAGTCGAATTCTATTTTCGATTTAATGAGTATAAATGGTATATATTGATATAATATGCACATTATCGGTATGACATCTCCAATAATCTTGAGATAGATTTTTTATTTGCACGACATGTTTGTTGAAAAATAAGTCAGTATGCAAGTGAATGAAGTACAAAGGGTCAAGTTCGGACAAATTACTGTAACAGTAATTTTGGACAAATTATTATGCTTTTAAAGAAACGTGGCTGGCTGATGTTGAATTCTATTATCACCATATACTACTGTGGCTGAATGGTAAAAAATTGTGGCTAATTTGTTGATTATGGCAGTGGGTAGGAAAGAACAAAAATATCATTTTAATGTTTAGATTCTTTAATGCATAAATGGTAGTTACTATATCACAGGATGATGGGTATTACCGTATCAGATACAGGAAAACCCTTTCTTCATGAATTGTCAACAATTGCTCACTTTCATTTTTAAATGAGTTAGTTATGTTTGTGATCAAATTTTACGACACCTTTTCATGAATAAATGTCATTTCAATTCAAAAAGTTGCCTTCACTTATAAATTGAAAATAAGGGCATGAGTATGCTGTTGGGTATTCCCTCTCGTGAGGGAGCCCATTAATTATTGGTAAGTGGGCTTTCTCTTACTTAGGCCCAAAACCAATTGGATATAGTAAGGAGAGGAAATAGTGGGAAATGCCCG